TCAACCCATTGAGGTCCATTTGCAAAACTGCACAAACAATAGTGCTAGAGTCCCTGACTTATATATAACAGATAACGGAATTCCATATTTTCCTCTCCCAAACAGTCCTTTAAAAAATGACCAGAAGCATAGTACCACCCACACACTGCATATGATCTCCCCCACCCCTGACCCATCTCCACCACCAGTTGTCGATCGGAACCCTAACAACATGAGGGCCAACGCAGCCAAAGTCAACAACAAAATGGCGGTGCCGGGCACAAAAATTGGGGACTCATCAAATGTGAACCTTCCTGCATTAGAATTGGTGTCATCGGCACCGATGGTTTGATCTTTCTTTGTAACTTCAAACATAGTCTCCGATAAGCCTAGGAGTTTGAGTATAACACTTAAAAATCCAAATAACCATGATGTCATAGATATGACTCTGCACATTTTGTGGTTGTTCCACCATGCTCGGATTGACAAGTCTGCCCGTAGGTACTCCGATGTCGAGTATATATTGTAGATGAGAAAGAGGACAAAGGGTATGAGTATGGCCGGTTCTTGGACCTGCATGTACAAAATGCTAAACAGTACTGCATGCATAGCATGGGTAGCACGAGTCAGTAAAACAAGAGGGTTATGATTTGTCATCACCTTGGGTAAGAAGTGTGAGTTGGTGAGAATACAGTAAGCCGGCAGAGCAGCGTAACATAGCTCAGGAATGGATCGTAGACCCCACACCAGAAGCCATATGTAGCATAGGAATTGGCGGAAGTGGAGCTTGCCTTTGGAGAGAAAAAGTATTGGGCTTTTTGGGCTTAAAAGANTCTTAATTTTATGACCCAATTCTCAACCCATTGAGGTCCATTTGCAGAACTGTACAAACAATAGTGCTAGAGTCCCTGACTTATATATAACAGATAACGGAATTCCATATTTTCCTCTCCCAAACAATCCTTTAAAAAATGACCAGAAGCATAGTACCACCCACACACTGCATATGATCTCCCCTACCCCTGAACCATCTCCACCACGAGTCGTCAATCGGAACCTTAACAACATGAGGGCCAACGCGGCCAAGTTCACCAACAAAATGGCAGTGCCGGGCACAAAAACCGGGGACTCATCAAATGTGAACCTTCCTGCATTAGCATTGGTGTCATCGGCACCAATGGTTTGGTCTTTCTTTGTAACCTCAAACATAGTCTCGAATAATCCTAGAAGTTTGAGTATAACACTTAGAAATCCAAATAACCATGATGTCATAGATATGATTCTCCACATTTTGTGGTTGTTCCACCATGCCCAGATTGACAAGTCTGCCCGTAAGTACTCCGATGCAGAGTATATATTGTAGATGATAAAGAGGACAAAGGGTATGAGTATGGCCGGTTCTTGGACCTGCATGTACAAAATGCTAAACAGTAATGCATACATGGCATGGGTAGCACGAGACAGTAAAACAAGAGGGTTATGATTTGTCATCACCTTGGGTAAGAAGTGTGAGTTGGTGAGAATACAGTAAGCCGGCAGAGTAGCGTAACATAGCTCTGGAATGGATCGTAAACCCCACACCAGAAGCCACATGTAACCTAGGAATTGGCGGAAGTGAAGCTTGCCTTTGGAGAGAAAAAGTATTGGGCTTTTTGGGCTTAAAACAATTTCCAGAAGCCCAGTGGACCATCTCTTCTGCTGGATCAATGTGGTGGGCCCACTCGAGGGAGCGCTTCCAAGAAAAGCAGGAGGATCGGGTGTTAAATACGTAGATTTCCAACCCCTCCCATGGATAGTAAGCCCAGTTAGGACATCTTCTGTTGCCGATCCATATATCAAACCAATCTGTAATATGCCAGAAACCACTTACTTATTAAGAAAGGAGAAGGATCGTGGACTCAAAGTTCATCTTTCCTTTTTATTTGGTTTCATTGTCAGCGGTGTTGGAATTAATTTCCACACGTCTCGACTAATTTTCGATCTAATCAAAGATAGATTATTCACATCAGAAGTAGGGTATTTATACCTCTACTAATCTCCGGTCTAGTTAAAGATAGACCATCCATGTTGAATATAGCGGTCTGGTCAAAGATAGATTATCCATGTCGAAAGTATGGTATTCATAGCTCGACTAATCTCCGATCCGGTCAAAAATAGACCATCCACGTCGAAAGTAGAATATTCATGAATGATAGATCCCTCATGGCTTGATCACAAGGTGTTGTTAAAATTCAAACTCATGACATCTGCGTTTAAGACTCGTCTTTATTACAACTTGAGCTATCCCTTGGAGTTAATTCAAAGTTCATCACGAATAATAAAAATTCCATATATAGCTAGGTTTTTCATGTGGACGAGAAAAGTAGAATAGAAAATTCTTGATATGAATAGTCAATCAGACACAAAATCAATACGAAATTAATAGTTAAGAGCCTGGATCATGGTCGAGTTGAAATGGTAGACTCATTCAATAACGGATTTACAAGAATCCAATCGTAGACACATAACATGAATCAGATATGACACCGGCACCAACCTATGTATAGACATGATAAATTAACTTGGCATAAAGACAAAATACAAATTTAATATGATACGATTTATTAATGGTAATTGAGGGGGAGATAAAAAAAAATGTCTAATCACCTTTTCACCCCAGCTGGTACCATGTTCATAGCCACAACTTGCAACTTGGTATGCTGCCTCAATAGAACTTGAAATACCACCTCTATTCTCAGGATTTATGACATTGTATCCTGATATAACCTGAGCTGCTGATTTGGAGAATTTCATTGACTTTCCAAATGTTTTCTGCAAATTCTCATCACCCAATTCTCCTGATAAGAAGAAAACAACACTCTAATCTTCAATCACGTTACTATCTCGGTTATTCCAGTACTAGCAATAATCCTATGCCCGAAGACAATACTAAAAATTGAGCATTAACTATACACACTAAGAAGTTGGATCAATTGCCGTGACAAGTGTTCATCATCTGAAATATTCTGTTGTATAATTGAGTATGGGAATTGGTCTTTCCAAAATATGAATAATTTTTTTCTACCAATTGAAGGAACCAACATGTTTGAGAGGCAAAAGCTATTCCACATCGACTGGAGAAAAAAAAAAGGGTTTAATATACAAAGTTTGAAACAAACAATTTTAGCTTGAACTAAAGTTTTTGGTTCAAGTTTGAATCCAACTTAAACCACGTAAAACACGAGAAAAAAACGTAAAAAAGTTTAATATACAAAATTTGAAACAAACAATTTTAGCTTGAACTAAAATTAAGGTAGCTAGCGAATGATATACGAGAAAAAACCGTAAAAAGTACTTTCAGACTGTGGTCACATAGTTGACGATGATTCACATACCGTTGGTTACAGTTCTATTTGGTGATAAACCATATATAACTTTTCTTCTGTGAAAACACCCTGTTCCTGAATAAAAAGGTCCTTGTATCCCCGCAATTCCACTCACCATATACTGGATTAGACGCAACAAAAAAGGTGGTTTAATAAGTTAATCAAACAGAAAGTTTCCACATTAACAACTAGTATCAGTTGGACTGAACTGATATTAAGCCAAAAGTTAGAGGGCAAAGTTGCTAAATGAAAATTAGAATGGAAGAAGCAGAAAATGAAACTTCAAGGATAAAGGTGCAATTAATCACAAAATTAATTTATAGAGTGAAGGTTAAATTACATTTTATCCCTTGGACTTTAACCAAGGAATACTTTATACCCCCTTACAATTTTTTTCACAATTTTATAGTTACACTAACTTTTATACTTTAATACAATTTTTTTTTGTTCTCTCTCTAAAATACTCCAATGATCGTCTCTCTTCTCTCTTTCATCCATTAAGTATACGTTTCAATCAGTAAATCAAAATGTTAGAGATAAAAAATTAGAAAAATAAAAAAGATGAAGAGTACTATTGTGCCTTTTATTCTCTGAACTCGCTAGCTACACTATCCAAAATTTTTAAGGTGAAAATCGTAATTTTTATAAAAAAAGAAAAAGGTATATAAAATAATTTTAACGTAAACCAGGTAATGTATTTGAGAATAGAATTAAAACGAAAAGGTTACTAAATTTCACTCACTTTAAGTAAAACCACGAACTGATTTCCAAATGGGTCATCCTTGAGTCCATCATAGAAGCATTGTGGATATTGAACAAAGCCACTGTCCATTTCATTCTTGACACCAAGCAGCATGCACATTGCATGAAGAACAATCTTGGGATTGTTGGCATACATATCGCAGTCTACATTCAGCATGAAAGGAGCATTTGTCATCACTCCTGACACTCTGATCTGTTCACAAGCGCAAACAATCATAAAATTAATTTATTAGGGACGAGGTTGACTCCATAATACCATATTTAATCTTGTATTCGGATCTCAAGTTATGACTCAAACAGATCATTACTACAACTCAACAAGGTTCGGTTCAGTAAAGTCAAATTGTTCTCAACTTCTGTTTAAGTCATAACCCGATCAGTTTAATTATAACTTTTTTATAGTGTGAAAAAATCAACTATAACATTTATAGGATTTCCATGCATAGAGAATAAAATATTCTGGGTTAATTAGACTTTATTTTCTGTGATATAGGAATCTCTGACCAGAACATTCATGGCACCAGCTTTGAAATGATGTGGATGCTTTGGGAGCTTCTCTCTGGAGATGTAGACCAGATGAGGCAAACCATTGGGAAGATCTTCCTTGTTCTCCAATATAACCTAAAAAAAACATTATTTCAAATAAGTCCACAATAAATTAGAATAAATAATATTAAACGGGTTGTTAAGTTTGAATAACGTATGAAAACAAATTTGTATTTAATGTACAAGATTATCATTTATTATGATGTTTAAGAGAAATAAGTGACAGGCAATTCAATTTTTATTTAAAAAAAAAAAAACTAATTTCTAAAATTAAATTGGAGATGTCTCTTTCTTCTTCCTCTTTTTTTCCCAATTGGGTACGGCATCTTATTCTGACCGATGATCTCTTTCTTCACTAAGCGCAATAGTTTATCATAAGATTTGTCCTAATTCCCATATTACTTTGTTTTAATTTGAAATAGTTAGAATATAGCTCAGCAATTCTTTTTTTTTTTTGATTCAAAAGTCAAAGGTGTCCAGACTAATTTATACATATTTCGACTAATGTCCTCCTCGGTCCGTAGGTCATTCCGGCACGCCGGGATTAGAGAATTCGTGAAAAATAAATTCCTCATAGTCTGATTTCAAAGAATTGTCAAAATTCAAATTTTGGACGTCTGAATTTTTAACTTATTTTTATTACATAGCTCAGCAATTCAGACAAGTAAATTAAACTTTAATTATTGAAATTTTTTTCTTGTACTTATTTGACTTTTGTGTAGCTGAAATCCATTTATTAATATTATTATGATTCACCATATTTTCCAGAAAGTGACATCCAAAAATTAAAAACAAAATGTAAACGACAATCAATGAGTGTTTCAATTTATGTACTTATATTCTTGTCCAGGTGTGTTCCTACTTCCTAGAATACCATTTCCCATTTCAATCTTATTGGAAAAATAATTAGATTCTATCCGACCTCAGCTCAACAAAATCTTGTTCTAATATTTTTGAGGTCAACAACATAAATCTTGCTTTATCATTGTGTCATTTTAAGGCTAATATTTTATGTTAAACTATAATGTCATCATATCATTTTATTTTATTTTTTATTATTTATTTATTTATTATTTTTTTTTCTTTTACTCTTTTGATTATCGTCAAAGGGGTAGATGATGGCCCGTCAACAGATCGGATTTTAACGGATTGGTAATTTGACAAATTATATTTTCATGGTTCATATCCGAATCCATTAACATTCCAAAAATTTGATCTAATCCGAATAATTTAATTAACTAAATTTTAACGAATTATACCTAAATTTCATTAATAATTACGAAACTTTTTTAATATTTATATAAAAACATATAAATAATTTAGATCGGATACAAGTATATCCAAATTTAAATCAGTGAAATATAAAATATCGGATTCAGTTAATGTAAATATGTGTCTAGTAAATAATGGATTACCTTTATTATAGTAGGATGGTTCCTGCGCTCTACATGTGAAAATGCTGCAAATTCCCCTGTAAAGTCCCATGGCTCAGATCTTTGCGTTGCTTCTTCAATCTTTTGGCAAAGCAGTTCGTATTCATCCTACAAAAAAGATGAAAACAATCGTTTCCATACGGAATACGTCAAATTTGTTAAAATATAAATACTTAAGTTAAACTCATCTTTAACGGTTTAACTTGGTAGAATAAGAAGTCATGTATTCAAATCTTATCGTCACCCTAATTATTGTACGTGAGAATGTATAAATACTTAAGTTACACCGTCTTTTATCAGGTGTGCACGTCACATGACACTATGTGCTGTATTAAACGCACTCTAACTTGTTTCGTGCATAACCCTCTACTTTCTACAATGTAACGCCTGCCAATTATGTCCACAAAGGGAATTGATTACCTTAATCTTTTTCCACTCTTGTTGGAACTCCAATGAACTGTCTTTGGACGACGATAAGGGCTCACCATTAAAGTATCGAAATGGAGCTCTAACAGGAATGTTATGCTTCTTACAAAATGGAACCCAAATCTTAGCAAACTTAGATGCTTCAATGAGAGCGAAGAAGGTGAGAGGAGAACAACCATCGTCGGATACGTAGCAAGCTAGCTTGTTGGCTGGGTAATCGACGGCTAACAAGGAGAGTACAGTGTTCACAGTGATAATCGGCGGTTCTAGGTCGGCATCGGCCGTGGTAACGAACATGTCCACCGGGGGAAGCTCATGAGCAGGTTTCCTAGTTGGAATAAGAACAAAGAAAAAGGACCATACGAATTGTTAAATTCATGAATGTTTTCTTACAAATGAATTGAACTAAGATCGGACTTGAATCAGAGTATACAACTTATTAATGGTTGTTCATATAATAAAAAAATCAAGCTTGACCTCAAGCTTAATCTCAATTTTAAAGTTGTTTTAATAAGCGAATTGAGCTTAAATAATGATTTGTTCGGCTAGGGATCCGAATCCTTTACTATTGTTAGTTTTTTAATAGTAGGGATACTGTTCCTCAAAATTACGTCGTTTCACAATAAAACGATATCATTTTATTAAATAAAACAACATCGTTTTAATGTAAAACGATGTCATTTTGAAAAACAAAGTAGAGTAGAGGATCCGGACTTTTCAGCTGGTGAACATATTTATACTTGAGTTTAAGCTAGAACACAAGTCAGAAGCTTGGTGAGTTTAATTAGAAAAGGTAAGCTAAGTGGTGCTCGAACTTGGAGAAAAAATTCAAAGAGCCAAGTCATCGTAATCCCGAGCAGTTCCTGAATATTTTTACTTCATTCATTTGAACCCCTAGATGCAATACATATGGTAAACAAGTAACAAGCTTAGATAAGGGTTGCAAAGTGGAGAGAGAGAGAGAGAGAGAGAGAGAAGTTATCTGATACCACTGCAAGAGGCGTTCTGGGTATGTTTTGATATATATTTGATTCCATTTGTTGTTCATTGTAAGAATCCAGATGAAAGTGAACCATGACTCGCAGCAAAACGCAAGAACCCAAGCCCAGCCATGGTCTCTGAGATGGAGGTGACGATAAACAAGGAGTGAGAGGAGAAGAAAGAAAATGATGATTTCCACAGCTCGTGGTGTGGTATTTTTACGAGGGTTTTGTTCTTGAAGAGGGAGAGGGGCTGGTTTCGCCATTAGTACAAAGTGTGAGTTTATGCCTTCTTGTCGCGGATATTTATAGCAGATTTCGTCACCTAAGGTTGGCAATTTTTGATACGATACGATAATTTGATATAAACATAACACAAATAAATGAGTTTGAGTTGATTATTTTTTGGTAAAAATCCATATGATATGACTTGTCAACACGAAATGTTAATGAGTTGTGTTTGAGTTTGACCCATTTAACATAAATTGACTCAATTGACCCGTGTATTTAATCAGGTTGACACGAACATGCCTGATCTGTTTTGACCCGAATTGACCCACCACTATATAATGATGTGTGGAGATTTATATTTGTTTTGGGATATTTATGATATTTTTAATGCCTTTGTTTTATGTAAGTGGAAATTTGTATTTGTTTTGGAATATTTGAGATGTTTTTAATGTCTTTGTTTTATGTAAAATAGGTCTAAATTTTTCTTTTTTTTGTTAGGTCATGTCGGGTTGGGTCTAGGGATGGCAGTGGACTGGAAAAAAATGGGTATTAATCCAAATTCGTCCCGTTTGGATCGGGGATAGACTATACGTATTGGACGGTGAACGTATACAAAAATACCCGTACAGGAATGATGGCGGGAATAGACTTACCCTTACCCCTGCCTTGTTCCTATCCCCGTTATCTGTTATATATATATATATATCCCTTTTGTTCTATGTTCTTCCATATTCCTCTTTTCTCCTCTTCCACATGTATCAAGCAAAAGTGTATGTACTGGAGTTAACTAAAAATGTTGTTATGTGCCATTTCAAATATCACTTTTGTTCTATGTTATTTTTTCATGCAAGTATATCCCTTTTATTCTATGTTCTTCCATATTCCTCTTTTCTCCTCCTCCACATGTATCAAGCAAGAGTGTACGTACTAGAGTTAACTAAAAATGTTGTTATGTGGCATTTCAAATATCACTTTTTTATATAATCCTGTTTTCCTACCTATTTTTGTGAGTAGCACGAGTAATTCAATACTTAATGCGTCAATGGCTGTGATATTAGTGGTTGCAATATAGGGGAAACAATGATTTTGGAGCCTTGGGAGAATTGAAAGAGCACTAGAACAATAACTATGAGTTTGAACCACATTTCATATATGAATCTGTTTGGCTCCTAGAAGGCAGCCTTTGTGACAGGATTATTGGCTCCTAAGAGGCTGCCTTTGTGACAAGATAATAGCTATGAGATCTCTTTCACAAGCACTTTGTTACCCAAAAGACTTAATTTTTTGCTAGCCTAAGGTTTTTGTGAGTGGCTGTAGTAGACCTCTAGTTTTTTAGATATTTGTTGTTTGTGTTGTGTTGGAATATGTTATGCTACATTATGTTGTGTTAAATTATTTAGATGTTATTGGATTATTTAAAATATTGAATTTATTTAGAATTTTGGATTATGTTGACTTGAAGTTGGACTTGGGCTTGGGCGGGTACAGGGGAAGCGGGGATGGGGACGGGGATTAAAAATTTACCCGTGAACGGAGATGGGGATGGAGATTGGGATGAAAATAATACTCGTTAACGGGAGTGGACCAGAGATGGACGGAGATTTTTTAAGCGGATACGGAGATGAAGACTAGACCCCCCTCCCCTGCTTCGGTCCATTGACATCCCTAGTCGTGTCGGTTGGGTCGTGTTTACTCGAACCCGACTTGTGTAAATTTCAAGTCACAGGTCGTGTTCATGTCCAAATGACCTAACATGTTTAACTCGCAAGTCGTATTTGGGTTGATGTATTTTTAACCCGAACTCGACATGATACGACACGATATGAATGATCTATTTTTAACTGAATTTAATAAAAAATTAATCGAAATACACATAAATTGACTAAGACACCGTGAATGTGGGCATTCGGGGTGTCCAGAAAGTGGCTCCAATTATGTCATGCATTACGTCAGGTGTCAAAAAAAAAACATGAATGTGGTCAAAAAGGACCTTTCCTTCACTAATCAACATATATATATATATATATATATATATATATTGATTGTTATTTATTACGCTTTAACCCATAGATAAATACATATAATCGAAGAGTAAACCAAAAACATAAACTAATAAAAAACAACAAACAATAAGACACACAGATTTTACGTGGTTTAAAAATTTGCCTACGTTCACGAAATTGCAGGAATTTCACTATTAAAAGAGAGGAATACAGAGGACGTCTATACAGTTCTAACAAAAACCTTAAAAGTAGCGATTTTTATATGTCTTACGCACCGGACTACAAAATTGGCTCAAGTCTTCACTCCATGGACCAAGCCTCGGAAAAATTTTCTATTAAAAATCACGTAACATTATTTTGGGTCGGATCATCATCTGAATCAACACACAAACTAGACTTTACAAAGGCACAACATATATATATACACACACGCTAGCTTTCGATTACATATGACGCACGGGTTATCCNATCATCATCTGAATCAACACACAAACTAGACTTTACAAAGGCACAACATATATATATACACACACGCTAGCTTTCGATTACATATGACGCACGGGTTATCCCCTTCTCCCGCAATTCTGATCTTCACTACCCATTTTTTTTATAAGTTAGCAACAATATTGTAGGAATTAATAGATTACAAAATTTAATACTTAAAAAAACTAAACAAATTGTAATTGGAGTGCTTCGTCAGACTGTATTACAATATTAAACCCGTCACGTTTCCTTTCCCCATCAAATCTTAAAGTTCACGTGAACAATCTAAAATTTGCTAGCTAAAAATACATGATGGGGCTCCACTGACATTTGTAAATATTATCAATACTAATATTTAAATATAAAAAACATCTCACTTTGGATTTTAGTCTAAGATAAGATCTGAAATCACACTAAGCCGCCATTCGTTTGCAGTCAAAATAAAATACTTTCATTAATCCATCCATCTGGTCGTCATTGTGCGTTTTTAAATCGTATGATTGTATTGCGTTAAAATTTATTCAATTTATAGTCTCTATTATTTGCATCTTCAACACTAACCCTCCGTAAGTTGACACTATTGCTTTGATAAATCCATCATTTGTGACGGGTCGCCATCTTACATTTTTAAATCGTATAAATTGTATTGTGTTAAAATTTAATCAATTTATAGCCGACATTGTTTGCATCTCCAACATTGTTATTAAGAAACATAATTGAAAAGGAAGAAAATTGAATTGATTGTATTACAATACATGTGTTGTATATATACATGATTGTCCCATAATGAGTGGGATTGAGAGGAGGAATTAACGGGATATAAATCCCATACAACAAGATATATGCAGTAAATTAAAACAGATTCAATACATCAAGATTTAAGGAAGAAATCATGTGAGAATCAATCCAGTATAATGTTAATACTCCCCCTCAAATTGGAGTGTGAGGATTAAGAACGCCCAACTTGGACTTTAGTGCCATAAACTGATCTCAGCCCAATGATTTGGTGAAGATATTTGCAATTTGATTGGAGCTGGACACATAGGACGTATGCAACAAACCACTTTGAATTTTATCTCGCATAATGTGACAATCAATCTCTTTATGTTTGGTGCGCTCATAAAAGACTGGGTTGGCTGCAATATGTAGTGCCGCTTGATTATCGCAAAAAAGAGGTATAGGTTTAGATTGATGTACACCGAAATCACACAATAAGGATGTGAGCCATGTGAGTTCACAGGTGGCCATTGCCATGGCTCGATATTCTGCTTTAGCTGAGGAGCATGAAACCATATGTTGTTTTTTTGTTTTCCATGATATAGGACTAGAACTAAGAAATATGCAATAGCCTGTGGTAGATCTGCGAGTCATAGGGCAACTTTCCCAATCTGAATCACACTAAGTTTGCAATTGGATAGAGGAATTAGTGGACAAAAGAATTCCTTGCCCTAGTGTCCCCTTTAAATAAAGTAATAGGCGATTGACAGCATCCATATGTGGTTTATGAGGTTGATGCAAAAATTGATTCAAAATATTAACAACATAACCAATATCAGGCCAGGTAACAATCAAATATATCAAACGACCAACCAATCGACGATAAAGTGAAGGATCAAGCAAGAGTTCACCATCTGTGTCATTCAACTTGAGATGTTGTTCCATAGGAACAGGTGAAGGTCGTGCGCCTGATGTGCCAATATCATGAAAAATGTCAATAGCGTATTTTCGTTGACTAAAAAATAAGCCTTGATGAGAATGTGAGACCTCGATACCAAGAAAATATTTCAATGCACCAAGATATTTTATGTGAAATCGTTGATGAAGAAAATGTTTCAAGGTGGAAATTTCCATGGAATTATTACTTGTGATAACAATATCATCGACATAAACCAAGACAAATATGGATGAACTAGATTTATGTCGAACAAACAGAGAATAGCCAGCTTTGGATTGGGTAAACCCAGCATCAATAAGTGTATTAGAAAATTTGGCAAACCAATTGCGAGAGGCTTGTTTGAGTCTGTATAAAGATTTGTTTAAACGACAAACTAGTTTCTCCCCCTTACTAGGATAACCGGGTGGAAGAGTCATATACACTTCTTCTTGCAAGTTTCCATGTAAAAAAGCATTGTGTACATCCAGTTGATGTATTTGCCAATTTCTTGTGGCAGCAATAGAAAGAAGA